ACAAGGACTGTGATGGTTGGCATTGCAGACCAAATGTGTAGTGAAATAAGTGGGAAAGGTCGGAAACGCCCCCTGGGGTGCAACGCAGCCGACCAAGGAGGGGCGGGAAGAGGAGGAAAGTAACGTATAGGTGACTATACGTTGTGGAAAGGATGCTCACGCAGAGCACCGAATGGCTACCGGGAACGGCGCCGATAGGGACAGTGTTGCCGGTCAACCAGCGAATACACGGTGCGTCTAAACCGTGCAGGCCGCTCTTCCGGCTGAAGAGAGAAGAAAATAGGAAAGAAGTAGTTGAGATACTTACCCAATGGCCGGGGAGCTGGCGGCTCGGAGTCCAGTCGGGAACCTGAAAAATAAAGCGAGATTACTCATAAATAATCAAGTTGATACGAACAGATTTAAAAAGCCTTTATTATAAATTGAATAAAATATATTACAGGGAGTTATAGGCATGAAGATTAATCGTAGAGTAAAATATTTACAAGTAGTTATCGCGACATGGGCTTTGGATTTGCCAACCAGTAGTAGAAATTCGCGACCATGGGCACAAGTTTTGCCTGCTAATTATGTATATACAATTGTATAGATGCGGATACCGCGACATGGGCTTGTGGTTCGCCAACTAGGAGTAGTACAAAGTAGCGCGGTAGTACAGTGATTCGCGTCCATGGCCTCAAGTTTGCCTGCTAGAGTAAAGTACATGAGATTGTTCACATATTGTCTCGATGGCGTATCGGAGAGCGATTGTTGATGCTGCTGGTGCGTGTCGGCTGCTGATGGTGGTGTTGTCTTACTCCTAAGTGCTGTCGGTAGATGTCGTTGCTTATCCGGATGACATCACTCACCATTAGCTGCTTCATTAGGGCCAAGTAGCGCCTACCAATTCCCAATCACTGGAGGGTGGCCTCGTTGAGTGAGTCGTATCCTCCTAGGGCTCCTATTATAAATGTGCCAAAGTGGGTGTTGTAGCCTCTGTTGCGGAGATGTTGTACTAAGTTACTATATTTTCTCTCCTTTTCTTCTCGGGCTGCATCGAAGGCTTGCCGGCCGTTCTCGAATGGTGTAGTTACGTCTATGACAGTGGCTGTTTTTGACTCCTCGTGGATCACAGTCAAGTCTGGGCGGCAGTTCTCTTCGAACCAGGGATGCGTTGGTTTACCAGGACAGTCGCACAACGTGGTTGGAATGCGGCGACAATTCTGTTCAGCACCGCGTTGTGCCGCTGGGTGATGAGCCGGAAGTTGGGGGGACAATGGCAGAGGACGTGAGATAGCATTTCGCGTGCAAAACCACAGCGACGGCAAGTCTTGGATTCATTACCGAATCGCTTGTGGCCTTTGAGTGCGACAACGCTGAGTCTCGCTTTGTGAATAAATCGCCAGTCAGTGAAGCGGGTGAAGCGTCCATTGTTCATGAAATGATTACTAACATCATTGCTGGCGGTAACCTGGAACACCTTTCCCTGATCTGGCTTTGCGAGGAGCTGACGAAGATGGTGGTCCCTCATTAAACTTACCAGTATGCTCTGGCAACCCTTGCCTCGGACGAAGTTGTCTCCTATAGCTAGGGTTGGGATGTCGTTCGGTCTATTGGCCCAGTGAATGTTTATCTTTTTCTTCAGTCTTCTAGTTGCCATCCTCAGGCAAGTCCACATCGATGTAATATCTTTGGATGGATTCCCCAGGTCTCCATCCATGGATCCGTCGAGGTAGTGGCACAGTTCTTCGTTGCTAGGGGTTCTCATGATCCTTGCCGTGACGACATCTCTTAGGGCGGCTAATGCTATGTTCGTAATATGTTCATTTCTAGAGTTAAAAAGATAGACTGCGTGGCATACCTGGGCTATGTCCGCGATGAGGCTGGCTGGGGTGATGTTTGTGCCCCCTTGTTTGTATGATAGATGTAGAATCTCTGCGCTGGCCCTTTGTGGCAGCCCGAGCCATTTTTTGACGTGCCGCTTTAGTGTCCTGTCTATCTTGTCCAACGTTTTCTTTGGTGTCGTTCCCGTGGCCAAGCAGAAGGAAAGACGTGGCAAGATGAAGGTATTCAGGGCATCAACTTTTTGCCGTGGGGCAAGATGTGATGCGTCTAGTTTGTTGATGACCTGTATCACTCCATCTGTTGTAGCGGCTTCGGTGTCACACCTGGAAAATTTGGTTGGCACACCTAGATGCTTGTAGGCATCGTTGTTGTCAAGGCGGGGGAGGCTGTTCTGTTTAATGAAAAAGTCGTTAGTGCCAGTTGTGTGTGACTTACTGAGAACTGATGGGGTCCCGCATTTAGAGTGGTTGAAGCGGATCTTCGCCCAGTCTGCCCATTCGGAAATGGAGTCTAGGAGGTCCTGGAGCCCTTGGTGACTACTGCTGATCAGGGCTATATCGTCCGCATAAGCCAACGCTGAAATGGGGTGGTTGTGGATGTAGTACCCTTCGTCGAGGCGCTGTAGACGTCTTATTGCTGGCTCGATGGTGAGGATAAACAGCAGGGGGCTGATAGGGCAGCTCTGCCTTACCCCCGAGAGCATGGATATGGGATCCGTAAATTCCGAGCTGGTGCGCACTCTGGTAGTGGAGCCCTCATACAGCCGCTGCAGGGTTAGTATTGCATCTGGGTGCAACCCGTGCCAGCTGAGGGATTTCCATATGGCCGCGTGTGGCACGCTACGAAAGGCGTTTGCAATGTCTAACCAGGCGACATGGCATTCCCTTCTAGTCCTCCTTGCGTCTTGTATGACTGTTTTTAAAAGGAAGTTGTGTTCCATGCACCCCTGGTAATGCAGGAACCCCTTTTGCGAGGTGGATATACGATTATTTGCGTAGCACCATCTTAGGAGCCTATCTGCCAGGCAAGCAGTATACAACTTACCGAGGGTGTTGGAGAGGCAGATAGGCCTCCAGTTGTTGAGGTTGTTGCAGTCCGCTTTTTTTGTAGATGAGCACGGTGGTAGACTCAAGCCAGCTGAGGGGGATGTATCCTATTTCAAAATTCTGTGTTTAATAGTGCTGCTAGTATGGTGCCTGTGGGGTTGACCCTTCGCCAGTGAAGGTACTTTATCCTGTCGGGGCCCGGGGCGGTGTTGTGGCCCTTGGCTATCCGGATGGCTACCTCCTCGGGCGTGAAGGGGACGTTGAGCGGGTCGTCGGTAGCTGGTGCTGGATCTTGCACAACCGGTACTGGAGCGTCGGTGAAGGGTGAGCACTGTTCGTTGATTGATTTGAAGTGGCGATAGACCTCCTCCGTTTCGACCTGGCAGAAACGGGAATTTCCGCCTAGGATGCGGTCGACGGCTCTTTTGCGATTGGCACGGTATAGTCTTTGGACTTCGCTTGCCTCGGCACGGTGATCTTGCGTGCGGTTATTGGTGATGTTGCGGGGCTGTCGTGGTCCCTGTATATCACAAATAGAATAAGTTAGACGGATGAAGTCACTGAGGACGCCTTCTAGTATGTCCTCGTCTATTGCTGACTCGAATCTCGAAGCCCAGGTAGTGCCCACTCTGGGGGGCCGTTGCCTGTTTTGTCCGTGGAAGCTTGGGGTGGCTGCGATGGTTGCAATGCTGGGGATGGTGCCGCTGGAGAAACCGGTTGGTGCTGCTGCGGAGGTGATGGCGGTGCTAGCTGTGCCGGTGACTGGGGCCGAACTGGTAGGTCCAGAGTGGCAGTCCTAGAAGGAGAGAGGTGGGGGTTGGCCTACCTGTGGGAGTAGGATACCCTTCCAGTTCCAATGGTGTCGTCTGGTCGCTGTTTGGGGCAGGGAGACTTCTCGTTGGGCTCTCCTGTCTGCGTACCAGGTGTTCGGAAATTGGTGCTGGTTGACTTCGCGCAGGGATGGGCTGCGTGGTCGAGTTTCTTCTGTTGGGGCCGCGGAGGGATCGGGTTGTCCTCCTGGTCCGAGGCAGTGTTGGGGTTGTTTGCGGAAGTGGGGTGGATGACTCCCCAGAGGTTTGGCTGTCGTTGGCAGTAGATGACGTGGAAGTTCCTTGTGCTCCTTTTTTGGTACGTCGTTTTATTGGCCCGTACAGAATCCTCGTCTTCTTCCGGTTCGCAGGAGGCGGTGGAGGTGGCGTTGCGGCCTTGATACTGGCGCGGCAGTTGTCCGATTTTGCCTGATGCAATTTCACCATCTTCAGTTTCTCGTGAATGTAATCACACGCACGGCACTCAAAGTGAAGAGCGGTATTATGTATTTGTTTTAGAGATCTTACAAGCCCAGCGTGATCTGCGTAATCGCGGGGGATGGGAAGACATTGACGACAGCCGTGCGGCGGTTGTAACGGGACTAATATAGTAGTCGCCTCCATGATGGATAGACCAAATGTGTAGAATTAAGATAGTGAAGGGAAGGTGAAATGCCCCCTGGGGTTGCAAAGCAACCAACCAAGGAGGGGCGGGGAGAGGAAGAGAAGGTATAGTGTGTAGGTATCTATACACTGGGAAGAGGGTGCTTACCTGATACACCCAGGGGTGTTTGTGCAAGACCCGAGGGAAAAGGCGTTAGCCGAGGCTAGTGTCGACAGGACAGTGTTGCCAGTCGAGCAGCGAATACACGGTGCGTTTAAACCGTGCAGGCCGCTCTTCTGGCGGAAGAGAGAAGAGGTAGGACAGAAAAAAGCGCAAAAACACACTTACCCTAAAGCCGGGGAGCGGGTGGCTCGAAGTCCGGTAGGCGTCTCCAGGATCAGCAGATGAACATCAAGCTGATAAGAACAGAGTTTAAAATCATTTATTAAAATCGATAAAATATGTACATAAAGGTGAATAGATTGTTAAAGAGATAAACATGGGCACGTAGCCAGCTAGTAAGATACAAATGTTGGTGTGTAGATAGAGAATGTAGGGCATATGCCCCAGGCGCGCTCCATTGGCATAGGCTAGAGATGGAGAGATTCGCGATTACATGGGCGCTAGCCAGGTATACTATGATACATTATAACAAACTATAATACAGAGGAAGAACTACGCGGTTACAAGGGCTCGAGCCAGCCTGGTGAAACGGTATTAGTGGTGATTGCGACTGCCGACATGTTGTAGGTAAATGTCTTTGCTCCATTTGATACAGTCGCATACCATAAGGTAACGCATGAGTTTAGCGTATCTTCTGGAGATCCCTAGGCGTTGGATGACACTTTCGTAGGCAGCGTCGTACCCGCTTAGGGCTCCAACAATAAAAGCGTCTATAAAGGTTTCGTAGCCACGGCTACGGTAGTAAGTGGCGAGGTCTTCATATTTCTTGGTCTTCTCCTCACGTACACGTCGGAAGGCTTCTTCGCCATTCTCGAATGGCGTGGCCACATCGATGATCGTCGCTGTTTTCGGTGTTTTGTTGACGATAACGATGTCTGGGCGGCAGTTACCTGTGTAGCCCAGGACACGTTGGTTGGTGTAGACTTTAGAGTGCTTGCAGTCAAAGGTGTTGAGGAGGTGATTAAGGATAGCGTTGTGCCTTTTGGTAATGAGGGTAAAGTTTGGCGGGCAATGATTTATTACATGTGCCAAAGTTTCCCTGTGTCTTTGACATCGGCGGCAGTTTTGGGACGCATTGCCGAAGCGGCGGAGGCCGCGAAGAGGGACCACGCTCAGTCTAGCACGATGCACAAATCTCCAGTCGGAGAAGCTGATGAAGTTTCCGTTTCTGACAAAGTGGTTACTGTTGTGGTTTCCGGCGGTGAGGCGGTACGCTTTGCCTTGGTTTGGCTTCCGGAGGAGAGATGTTAAAAATGTGCTTTTGACGGCGTTGGTGATGATACTTGCCGTGTTTGACTTGTTGAGGAGTTTTCCATCGATGGTAGGGGTGAGCGTCCCGTCGTCGTTTGGGTGCCAGTTGAGGTCTATGTGGGTTCTGAGCCGGCGTGTGGCCATCCTAAGCCGGGTCCAGAGGGAGGGGATGTCATATGGGTCGCTCCCGAACTCGTTCTCCATGGATCCGGCTAGGTAGGTGCAGAGGTCAGCTCCACTGGGTGTCCGTTTCAGGCGTTTCTCTACAACCATGCTGAGGGTCTTGGACGCAAGACTGGATATGTTGGTGTCTCTAGACAAAAATAAGTTTGTTGCATGGCTTACCTGTGCGACATTGGCAATGATGGCGCATGGAGTGACGTTTGCTTCGCCTTGGTTGTTGGTCATATGTACGACTTCAGGGGATGCACGTTGAGGTAAGTTCATCCATTTTTTGACGTGACGTTTGATGGCTTTGTCGACGTTGTTAAGTGCCTTCTTAGGGACATTTCCAAGTGTCATGTGGAAGGTAAGACGAGATGTCAGAAAGGTGTTAATGCAGTCGATTTTCTGCCACGGAGCGAGGCATGAATTATCGACGTGCTTAAGATCCTTGAGTATGCCTTCGATCACGACCGCAGCAGAACGACCGATGGTGAATCCGGTGGGGATCCCCAAATGCATGTAATGATCGTCTTTGCGAAGTTGTGGGATGTCCGCCCCTTGGATTTTGAAGGTGTTGCGGTCAGAGCACTGATACTTACCGCTAACAGAGACTGTGGCACATTTGGTGGGATTAAAGCTAAGACCGTTGTGGCGGGCCCATGAGGAAAGCACATCTAGTTGTTGTTGGAGTCCTGCTGGCGTAGGGCTGGCAACAGTTATATCGTCCGCGTATGCCAGTGTGGAGATGTTGTAGCCGACTTGGAGGTCAGACACCATACGGAGTGCCGGCTCTTTAACGAGATTAAAAAGAATGGGGCTGAGTGGGCAGCCCTGCTTGACCCCAGCAGATATGGGGATCGGGTTAGTGAAGCCCGAGTTGGTGCGAATGCGTGTGCAGCAACCAGAAAGTAAGTTCTCAATGTGTTGGATGGCAGAGGTCGCTAGACCGCACCATTGGAGACTGTTGATGATGGCTGAGTGGGGCACAGAGCCAAAGGCGTTTGCCAAGTCCAACCAGGCAACATGGCATTGTTTGTTTTTGCGTCTGGCATCCTGGATAACGGATTGGAGCATGAAAGAATGCTCCGAGCAGCCCTCGAAGCGCATAAACCCCTTCTGTGCTGTGGAGATGATGTTGTACTGTTCGCACCAGCGCAAAAGGCGGTTAGCGATGCAGGCGGAATAAAGTTTACCCAGAGTATTGGCCAAAGCAATGGGTCTCCAATTGCTGACATCGTTTGGGTCACCCTTTTTGTGGATTAGAATGGTGTTCGATGTTTTCCAGGCAGCAGGGATCACTCCGATACGTAAAACGGCGTTGAAGAGGGCCGCCAGTATGTGGCCCTGCGGGTCAAGGCATCGCCAGGTGTAATATCTAATGCCATCTGGGCCGGGGGCCATGTTCTGGCATTTGGCGAGCCTGTTGGCGACCTCAGTTGGGGTGAAGGTCTCGCTGAGAGGATCATCTGTGGTTGGCTCAGGTGACAGTGGAAGTACGATTTCTGAGGATTCGGCGTTGGTGCAACGGCTGTAAATTTTAGAGAAGTGATCAGTAAGTGCAGTCTTACCTAGTTGGCAGAAGCGTCCAGTGCCGCGGGTGATCTCGTCAAAAGCTTTACGCTTGTTCACCCTATAAAGTCGTTGGATACGGCTGGCTTCTGCGGCGTTATATCTAGGTGGTCTGTTGTTGCGTTGTGTTGTCGGAGGACATTGGCGACGTGGGCGGTTGGAAGTACGGTCTTGTCTGCGGGGCGCCATATGCTGGGCCAGGTTGATGAGGACTTCTACCATTACCTCAAGCATATCCACATCTAGTGCACAGCTAAACCTGTCCCTCCAGGCGATGACCCATGACGGCGGAGCGGAGTCGTCGGCGTCCGGTGGTGGCGGCTGGGTCGGTTGTACACTGGGTTGAGGTGCGCTATCGTTGTGGGCTGGAGAGTCCATTGGTTGGTGGTCGGGTGGCTGGTTTGGTGGAGGGGTGATGCTCCTGCTGGTGGAGTTCGTAGGGGAGGTAGTCAGGATTGGCTCTGCAGGGCAGCTGGTGTTGGGTGGGCTGCTTGCCTGGCGACGTCTGGGTCGGCGTGGGCGTCTTATCAGCGGTGGCGGGGAGTTGTTGTCCCTCGTGGTCGGCTGCGATGGGCCTATGGTCCAGTTGTTGATTCTCGTAGGGGGTGTGGAGGCAGCCACGCTGGCGTAGGTGGGTGGTTGGGCTGCTGGGCTGGCTGCAGGATCAGGGGTGTTTGATTGGCTAGTGGGATCGCCAGTTTCAGTAGTGGTTGTGGCATCTTGTGAGGCCAGGTAGTCTTCGTCAACGCCATATGTCTTGCGTCTCGTTTTCCTGGGCCCTGTGGGAACCCGTGGGCATGGTCTGGGGTCTCTGGTCGTGCTTTCAGGCGACATGGATGGAAGTTGCGCTGAGCACGTAGCTGATTTGGCTTGATGTAATTTGATCTCTTTCAGCTTTTCAGAGCGGACATGGCACGCTCGGCACTCGTACGTCAAGCGACCGCCGTGGTTGCGCCTAATGTGGCGGGCAAGGCCCCCATGGTCCACGTAATCACGATAGACGGGAAGGCAGCCGGGGCAGTGGTATGGCGGACATAATGGTACTAGAAGTATGGCCTCTGTTGGGCTGTTGGTCGCTATTGATCATATGTGTAGTATATAGGGGGAAGAGAAAAGGGGCAGAAAAACCTCCTGGGGTGCTAGGGGCAACCAACCAAGGAGAGGCAGGAAGGGGAAGAAAGAGCTACTGCTTAGGTCGACCCAGGCAGTAGTAGAAGTATACGTTGTGTCGTGATCAGTGATCACGCCGCGACAGAAAAGTGGTTGCTGGTCAGGCAGCGAATACACTGTGCGTTTAGACAGTGCAGGCTGCCTTTGCAGCGGAAGTAGGAAGAGGGGTAGGACAGAGAAAAGTACTAAAAACTACTTACCGACTTGTCGGGGAGCATTCGGCTCGGAATCCTAAAGTCGTCGAGATGAGGCTGGATCAGGCTTAATTCAGAGCATCAAGCTGATAAGAACAGATTTAAATGATTTTATTAAAAATTCCTAATAACATACATGGGGTATAAAAAGGAGGAATAACTTTACAATATATACATATGTATTGCGCGACATGGGCTCAAGCCTGCCAATAGATACGGAGTTCATGATCGCGAGTTACATGGGCACATAGCCTGTCGAGTGGTACAGTGGTATAAATACAGAGATGGTGCGCGTGACACGGGCACTTAGCCTGACACACGTGGTGGTTACAACAGTTGGTCATTAATACATACGGAGCTGTCGAGTCGATTGGGATGTTGCGGGCCTCCGGCGGCGATGTGGGTTATAGGTGTTCGTACTGCGTTGTCCAATATGGGATGGTTGACTCGTGATGATCTGGGGCGCAGTGGATCTCAGTTGGTTGCGCTGATGGTTGACGTGTGTCGTGGTATGTTGATGGTGATTGGGGGTGTGCCGTCCAAAGTTCAGGTGCTGGATGTAGATCTCACGACTCCAGCGGATGCTGTCGCTGACCATCAGTTTTGCCATGGTTTTAGAGTATTTTCGTCCGATACCAAGGCGTTGTAATACAGCGACATTACCTGGGTCGTAGGCGCCCAACGAGCCGATTACAAATGCGTCGCAAAAGGTGTCATAACCTTTTGCCTGATAGTGTTGTGCGAGAGGTGTGTACTTTTCGATCTTTTTGGCTCTTGCGGCGATGAAGGTGTTGTGGCCATTTTTGAAAGGTACCACTACGTCTACTATGGTAGCCGTTTTAGCGATATCGTTAATGGCCACAAGGTGAGGGTGGCACACTTGCCTAGGTTGAAACGTAGCCCAGCCCAATCTGCCCAGTGTGAAATGTAGTTTAGCTGCTTCTGTAGGCCTTCAGCGGTTGTGCTAACAAGGACGAGGTCATCGGCATAGGCCAGGATGTCGATGTTTTCACCCTCGAGTGGGTAACCAAGTTGAAGGTCCTGGATGGTCCTGACGGCTGTCTCGATGACTAGGTTAAAAAGCAGGGGGCTTAAAGGGCAGCCCTGCTTTACCCCGGAATTGATGGGTAAGCTGTTGGTATATCCACTGTTAACACGGATTTTGGTGGTGCAGTTTCGGAGCAAGTTGTTAATGATGTCTATGCTCTCGTCGTGGATTCTGCACCATTGCAGGCATTTAATTATAGTTCCATGGGGGACTGAGCCGAAGGCGTTGCTGATGTCGAGCCACGCAATGTGGCAGGATCTATGTTTCCTCCTGGCATCTTGGATGATGGATTGTAGGAGGAAATTGTAATCCAGACAGCCTTTGTGCTGCAGGAACCCCTTTTGGGCATTTGACAAGATGTTGTTGCCCTTGCACCAAGTCAGAAGCCTGTTGGCCAGACAGGCGGAGAAGATTTTGCCCAAGGTGTTAGATAGGGCGATGGGACGCCAGTTGCCAACATTCCGGACATTGCCCTTCTTGTGCAGCAGAATGATATTGGAATTCTGCCAGGACGATGGAATAGAAGAAGTGCGGAGGGCCGCATTGAAAACGCTCGCAAGGATGATTCCCTGCGGGTCGACCGTAGCCCAGTGATGGTAGCAGAGACCATCTGGTCCGGGCGCTGTGTTGTGACAGCGGCGTATGCGATTAGCAACTTCGTCCGCGTGAAGGGGCCGGAGAGCGGGTTGTTGGCGTCCAAATCGATGGATGGTGGAGTGGCCGTGGGTGCAGAGGGCTGATGCAGTGAGTTGTGGGCATACAGGCGGTGAAAGTGGTTGTATAGGTCTTGTTTATCAATGCCGCAGTACTTGGGCTGGCCATCGGTGATGTAGCTGATGGCCTTCTTTTTGTTTAGCCTATACAATCTCAGTATGCGTTTGGCATTAGCAGCAATGGAGGGTTGGGATATGGGCTGCTCTCCAGGTTGAATGGTGGTCCCAGCGACAGAGCATATGTCCTGGGCGAGGGTGACGAGATCGTCAACCATGTTCTCCAACATGTTGCCATCTACAGCCACATCGAAGCGGTTCTTCCAGCTGAGGACCCAGCTGGGAATGGAGGATGGGCTGGTGGTGGTGAGTTGAGGTGAGGCCTCAGTAGTAGGATACTGAGAGGCGTTGGCGACGGGAGAAGGAGGTTGGACATCAGCCGGACAACAAGGATCAGTAGACACCACAGTTGTGTCTGGAGTGAAATGATGAGAACTCCCGTGGTAGTCCTGAGAAGGACTGTGGATGTTGCTGTGGTTGTTGTTGGAGCGACGTCTTCTGGGCCTTCTGGCCAAGGCCAGAGGCGGAGACTGGCTGGTGCCAGGGGCAGGACTGCAAGGAGGTACCCCGAGAACAGGGGTGTGGGCTCCCGTGCTCAAACCACCAGTACTACGCAGTCTAGTGCCAGGGGAACAGCTATCAGAACTGTGCTGTGGCAGGTCAGATGTTACCTGATGAGCAGGTTGCTGGATGTGAGCAAGTGAATCGCCACTGACCCGTAGACCATTGGTGGTGGGAGGTGTGGCCTGGGCGTCCCTTGGCGGGGAGACATCGATCGGGGAATGCTGAATTGGCCGTGTGGTTCTACTACGCCGTGGGGCTCTCCTACGCCGTGAGGAGGCGGAGCCTGGTGTCGGCGAAAATATGACAGAGTGGCAAGATGAGTGGTCACTAGATGCAGTAGAGGGAATGGTGTTGTGGGTCTGAGGCCTCCTATTGTATGATTTCCTTGGCCTGAGTGGGATCCGCATAATGCGGCGGTTGGCAGGGGGTGGTGGGGGAGGCGAGCGAGCTTCTATGCTGTCTCGACAGGTTTCAGATTTTAGCTGATGGGCCTTCAGGAATTTCAACTTCTCCATTACCAACCCACAGGCTCGGCACTCAAATTGCAGCGTGATGCCATTCTCCCACTTGAGATGCCTAACCACCCTAGCGTGGTCGATGTATTCACGTGGGATTGGCAGGCAATGTTGACAACAGTGCGGCGGCTCAAGTGGTACTAAAACGGTGGTGGGAGGCATGGCAGACCAAATGTGTAGATGAAAGAAGTGGGAAAGGGGCTGAAAACCTCCTGGGGTGCCGGGGTAACCTACCAAGGGGAGGCGAGAAGAGGAAGAAAGTAGCGTCTAGGGCAACTAGGCGCTAATGAAAGGATGCTCACGCAGAGCACCGAATGGCTACTGAAAACGGCGCCGATAGAGACAGTGTTGCCAGTCGAGCAGCGAATACACGGTGCGTTTAAACCGTGCAGGCCGCTTTTCTGGCGGAAAAGAGAAGAGGATAGGAAAGGGACAGTCGAGATACTTACCCAAGGGCCGGGGAGCTGGCGGCTCGGAGTCCGGTCGGGAACCTGAAAAATAAATCGAGATTACTCATAAATAATCAAGCTGATAAGAACAGAGTTAAAAGCCATTTATTAATATTGAATAAAATATATACAAAGTAGCCAATTTTGGCAGTAGAGAGTGGTCAAAACATGGGCACAAAGTCAGCTAGAGAGAGTAACATAAATTGGTAAAGGTAGTATATGTAGGAAAGAAGGAGGCAGTGCCTCAGGCGCGTGTATACATGGGCACATAGCCGGATAAGAAGCCGCTAGAGCGGCTGAACAGGATGATATGTCGCGATTACATGGGCTCATGGCCTTTGAACAGGGTAGGGTAGTCGCGTTTACATGGGCTCGTGGCCTTTGGATAAACAATGATACGCGGTTACATGGGCTCTGTGGCCAGTGAATAGGGATTGGTACTGTCGTTGTTATTAGTCCAAGTTAGTTGCGATAGCGGCTGCCCAGGTGGGAAGTGTATATGTCTCTGCTCCACCTGATGCAGTCACTCACTATGAGACGTCTCATCAATTTTGAATAGTTTCTGGTGATTCCGAGACGTTGTAAGACACACTCGTTGGCGGCGTCGTAGCCGCCGAGGGCCCCCACGATGAACGCGTTGAGAAAGGTTTCGTAGCCGAGGTTTCTGAAGTACTTGGCCAGATCGGTGTATTTTGCTACCTTCTCGGCACGGGCGCGTTCAAAAGCGTCTTCCCCGTTTTCGAAGGGGGTGGCGATGTCGATAATAGTTGCTGTTTTGGGGTTGTTATTTATAATGACGTGGTCAGGACGGCATGTATCTGGATAGTCCGGGATCTGTTGATTGCAGTACACTGTAAGGTTTTTGCGGTTGAGTGCATTATAAAGTCTGTCCAGGATGGCATTGTGACGTTTAGTGATCATGCTGAGATTTGGCGGGCAGTGGTTGACAACGTGTGCTAGCGTTTCACGGTGTTTTTGGCATCGTCTGCACGTCTGGCTAGCGTTGTCGAACCTTCTGAGTCCACGCAGTGGGACGACACTTAGTCGGGCACGGTGGACGAAACGCCAATCCGCGAATCTGGTGAAGTTGCCGTCTCTGAGGAAATGATTACTTACGCTGTTGGTGGCGGTGATGCAGAAGGCCTTTCCCTGGTCTGGTTTACGAAGTAGGGTGGTGAGGAATGATGATTTGATGGCGTCAGCGATGGATTTCATGGTTGTTGATTTGGTGATTGGTCTGCCGTTGACAAACGGGGTAAGGGTGCCGTCGGTGCCGGGTTGCCATTCGAGCTTTACTCGTTTCCTAAGTCGGCGTGTGGCCATTCTCAGGCGGGTCCAGGCCGACGGAATATCATACGGGTCGCACCCGAATTCATTCTCCATTGAACCTGAGAGGTATGTGCAGATGTCGGAGTCGTTCGGGGCCCGCTTGATGCGTTTTTCAACAACCAGCCAGAGGGTTTTGATGGCGAGATCAGAGTCGGTGGGGTCCCTAGAGTGCAATAGGTTTACAGCGTGACTTACCTGAGCTATGTCGGCCAATATGCCGCACGGGGTTATGTTGGCGCCTCCTTGCGCATGCGGCATATGGACGATCTCAGGGCTGGCGCGCTGTGGAAGATAGAGCCATTTTTTGGTGCAACGTTTGATGGTCTTGTCTAATTTTCCCAATGCCTTCTTCTGGACGTTTCCCAGGAGTAGGTGGAATGTCAATCTGAATGTCAGGAAAGTCCCAATGCAGTCAATTTTTTGCCATGGGGCTAGGAGGGAGTTTTCGACGTGCTTCAGGTCAGCTAGTATTCTGTCGATCACGGCTTCAGCGGATCGTCCGAGGGTGAACCCTGTGGGAATACCAAGATGTTGGTAGAACTCACCTTTCTTGAGATGTGGGATGTTGCCGCCTTGTATGGTGAACCTATTGCCTTCCGCGCATTGGTACTTGGTGGCGACGGAGAGGGTCGCACACTTTGCCGGATTGAAGCAGAGACCACAGTTCTGGGCCCAGGAGGTAAGTAAGTTGAGTTGGGCTTGTAGTCCTTCCGTGGTTTTGCTAACGACAGTAATGTCGTCAGCGTAGGCAAGGATGGATATGGTGTGGTCGTGGAGGCGATATCCCTCGTCGAGATTGGAGATCAGCCGGAGCGCTGGTTCCATGACTATGTTAAACAGTATGGGGCTCAGGGGGCACCCCTGCTTAACGCCTGCGTGTATGGGAATAGAGTCAGTTAGGCCCGTGTTAGAACGGACGCGAGTGCAGCAGTCTTCAAGGAGGTCTTTGATGCATTGTACAAAGGATTCGCTCAGGCCGCTCCACTTGAGGCAAGTAAAGATGCTCTCATGGGGCACGGAGCCGAAGGCGTTGGCTAAGTCAAGCCAGGCCACGTGGCACCCATGATTCCTGCGCCGAGCGTCCTGGATGGCCGATTGGAGGATGAAATTATGTTCAGAGCAGCCATCGTATCTCATGAAGCCCTTCTGCGCCGTGGAGATGATGTCGTTCTCTTCACACCAGCGCAGAAGGCGGCATGCAATGCATGCCGAGTATAACTTACCCAAAGTATTTGCGAGGGCGATGGGTCTCCAGTTTGTGATGTTATCCCTGTCGCCCTTCTTGTGTAGGAGGATCGTGGTGGACGTCTTCCAAGCAGATGGTATAGCTCCAATCCTCTGGACGGCGTTAAAGAGAGCCGCCAGTATGTGGCCCTGGGGCTGTGTTATGGCATCTGGCTAGTCTTTTGGCGACCTTGGCCGGCGTGAAGATGCTGCAGAGTGGGTCATTGGACGTGGGCAGCGGGCTTGGCGGTAGAGAGGCCACTAGTGGTTCCTGTGGTAAGTGACGATGGCTGTTGGTACTGATGAAATGATCGGCGATCGTGGTTTTGTTGATGCTGCAGAAGCGGCTGGGACTCCGGGTGATCTCCTCGAACGCCTTGTTTTTGTTGGCGCGGTAGAGCTTCTGTATTCTGCTTGCATCGGCGGCGTGGTTGGTGTTTGGCCGCTGGTTGTTCCTCTGTCGCTGGGGTCTTGGTTGCTGCTGGTGACGGTGGTGGTTGCGAGTGGTGGGTCGTGGAGGTGCCATGCAGTGAGCGAGGTGGGTGAGGTCGTTGACCATTACCTCAAGCATGTCGATGTCTACTGCGCAGTTGAGGCGGTCCCTCCAGGCGATGATTCACAAGGGGGGGTCGGTGTTGGAGCTACTAGCAGACGGCTGGTCGGGCTGGGTGGTTACTGCTTCCTGGCCAATGTCTGGTGAAGGATTAGGCTGTTGGCTCGGACGATGTGCTTCAGCCTCTATGGTTGGGCTGGCCGATAGTGGTTGTGGTGATGTGGCGGCGACCGTGGTGCTAGAGCTGTCAGGAGAGATATTACCTGTTGGGGCAGATGGGCTATCTATCCCCGGTGTTGGAGGTTTGCTGACGTTGACATTGGCGTCTTGGGCGACGGGGGCGTCTGATCAGTGGCGGGGAGGTGTCATCGCTTCCAGGGCATGGTTGTGGTGGGCGAAGATGCCAGTTGACCTTATGGGGTGGCGCGGTGGTGCCGCTGGTGGTAGTTGGAGTGGCGGAGTTGGCCGGCTCTTGTGCAGGGCTGGCAGTTGAGACTTGACTATGATGCTGGCTATCTTCGGAGTCGGCTCCGGGCTGGGAGGCGAGGAAGGTCTCGTCCAGGTTGTAAGTCTGGCGTCTAGACTTCCTAGGACCCACAGGAATCCTGGGACGAGTCTTGGGGTCCCTGCTGGCCCCCTCAGGGGAAAGAGCAGGCAGTTGTTTTGAGCACTCTGTTGACTTTGCTTGGTGCAGTTTTAATTCTTTCAGCTTCCCGGAACGTGTCTTACAGATGCGGCATTCAAAGTTGAGCCGCCCGCCATGGATGCGCCTGATGTGTCGTGCAAGACCCCCATGATCGACGTAGTCACGGTACACAGGCAGGCAGGCGGGGCAGTGGTAGGGAGGACGCAGCGGGACGAGAAGGGTCACATCGGCTGGTCCGTTGTTATGGGCCATGGATCAGAATGTGTAGCGGTCAGTGGGAGTAAAGGAGTGGAAGTGCCCCCTGGGGTGCAGAGCAGCCAACCAAGGAGGGGCAGGAAGGGGAAGAAAGAAGGTGTCCTCAGGGAAACACCACGGGCCTTGGGGGTCACGGGGCATCCAAGCGGAGCACCAGAAAAGCTACCAGCCTAGGCTGGTAACGATAGATGAAAGTGTTGCCAGTTGAGCAGCGAATACATGGTGCGTTTAAACCGTGCAGGCCGCTCTTCTGGCGGAAGAGAGAAGGGTAGAGGAAAGAGAAATTAGTAAAACCAAGTATAATTACCCAGAGGACTGGGGAGCGATGTGGGGCTCGGAATCCAGGTCTGGTGTAGTTTTAGGCAAAGATCATCAAGCTGATAAGAACAGGTTTGAAAACTTTTTATTTGTGCTAAGAATATAAAATACAATGATATAAACATGGAGTGTGAGAGTGGCCATGGAGGCCTAAACAGGTATATACATTAGATACATTGGTTAGGACCCGTGCCCAAAAAGGTTGAACAGGGGCAGGGTAGTTGGAATCGCGACATGGGCTCAGAGTGCCTGTCTGGGCGATTGGTAGCGGTGACTGACGCAACATGGGCTCAAGTGCCAGTTAAGTGTTCGCGACAATGTTGGTAAGTACGCGACATGGGCTCAAGTGCCAGCTGAGTGGTCGCGACAGTGTGGGTAGATAGAAAGTACGGACGCAACATGGGCACGTGATGCCAGCTATACGCGTACAAAGATTAGTTGCTGTATTGTTGACTCTGTAGATGGTGGTGGTATATCTCCCTACTCCAGCGAATGGTATCGCTCACCATGAGTCTGGCCATGGTGCTGCTATACTTACGGGAGATACCTAGCCGCTGGAGGATTGAAGTATTATGATGATCATATCCCCCAAGTGAGCCGAGGATGAAGGCATCACACACGGTGTCTAAACCTTGACTCCTGAAGTAGTTGGTCAGTGGTCGGTATTTGTCTATCTTGGTCTGTCTGGCTATGTTGAACGCCTCCTGTCCATTCTCGAACGGGATGGAGACGTCTACAATTGTCGCGGTTTTGGCCGAATCATTGATAATCACCAAGTCCAGGCGGCACCTATCGTCAAAACCGGGAACTTGTTGATTCACTAGAATTCTGAGGTTGTCGGGCCGGATGGCTTGATGTAGTCTGCTGAGGACGTTGTTGTGACGCCTAGTCGCTAAGTGTAGGTTTCTCGCACAGTGGTTGAGTACATGTGCGAGAGTTTCTTTTGGGAAGTTGCACCTCCTACACTTAGTAGATGTGTTGCCAAACCAGCGGTGGCCGTGGAGGGGGACGACACTTAACCTTGCACGGTGAACGATCCTCCAATCAGCGAATGTTGTATAGTTGCCGTTTCTGAGGAAGTGACTGCTGGTAGGGTTTGTAGAGATGATTCTGAAGGCCTTGCCTTGGTCGGGCTTCCTCAGTAGGCGAGTGAGTAGAGCTGCTTTGATTTTGGAAGATAGAATTCTAGTGCAGCTGGACCTGTTGATTGGATTGTCGTCGCAGGTGATGGTGATAGTGTTACCCACAGGGATCCAACCGCAGTTGATCGACTTGCGGAGACGGCGAGTGGCAATGCGGAGGCGAGTCCACATGGAAGAGATGTCATACGACTTAGAGCCAAACTCGTCGTCCATGGATCCGTTTAGATATTTACAGACATCCTCCAGTGACGGGTCACGATATATTCGCTTCTTGACGACGTCACGAAGGAAGCTGATGGCCAGGGTGCAGATGGTTGGGTCCTTTGATGTTAGAAGGTGCATGGCCTGGGTAACTTGTGATATGGCGGCTAGCGTGTAGCAGGGCAGCACGTTAGCGCCTCCGTAGTCGTGGGGGATGTTCACTATCTCAGTACTGGCCCTCTGAGGTAGGTTCATCCACTTTTTGACGTGTTTGTTTATGTGGCGGTCCAGTTTATGTAGGGGCTTCTTTGGGTTGGAGCCCACTAGTAGGTGGTACGAGAGCCTTGGCAGAAGGATGGTGTTTAGGGCGTCTATTTTCTGCCAAGGGGCCAGTTTGGACCTGTCTAATTGAGAGATGTCATTGGTGATTTTGTCATATATGCGGAGGTCCGTCGGGTGTGTGGCAAAGCCTGTTGGCACCCCGAGATGGCGATAAGTGTCGTCCGGGTTCAGACTTGGGAGCTGTGAATCCTGGAGGTTAAAGATGGTATTTTTGGCGGTGCGTTGTGTACCAATCACAGAGAGAGTGGCGCATTTACTAGGTTTAAAACGCATGCCAGCCCAGTTGGCCCATTCAGAGATGGCGTCGAGCTGTTGTTGAAGGCCCTCTTTGGTGTGACTGATTAAGGCTAGGTCGTCCGCGTAGGCAATAACGCTGACCTTTTCCCCTAAGAGGGAGTAGCCATTGTCGAGGTTTCGTACGCTCCTGATAGCTGTCTCAACTACTATGTTGAAAACCAGCGGGCTAAGTGGGCAGCCTTGTTTGACGCCAGAGAGGATAGGGATGTCTTCTGTGAACCCGTCATTTGCACAGATTCGGGTGGTGTTGTTGGCTAGAAGAATCATGATGTTGTTGATACTGTCCTCGTGGAGGCCACACCATTCGAGGCATTGTGCAATGGTGTGGTGCGAAACGGAGCCGAAGGCATTGGCTATATCTAGCCAAGCTACGTGACACTACTTCCGCTGCCTCCTGGCGTCTTTGGTACAGGCTTGGAGCAGAAAGTTGTGCTCCAAGCAGCCCTCGAAGGGGAGAAAACCCTTCTGTGAAGAGGAGAACAAGTCGTTATCTAAGCACCAGGACAGAAGGCGACTAGCAAGACAGGCTGAGTACAGTTTTCCCAGAGTGCCTGAGAGGGCGATGGGTCGCCAGTTATCAATGTCCTGCTTGTCACCATTCTTATGTATAAGGATGGTATTGGAGCGGTGCCAGCTATTGGGGATGTATGCTATCCTTAGTACTGCATTGAAGACACTGCTTAGGATGATGCCTTGCGGGTCGACGCGGTTCCAATGATGGTACCGAAGACCGTCGGGACCCGGCGCAGTATTATGGCAGCGTTTGTAGCGTGAGCGTACCTCTTCTGGGGTGAATGGAGTGGATAGCGGATCGTTGGAGTTGTGGTGAAGGGCCTGCGGGAATGAGCAGGGCCGAGGCGTATGTGGCTGTGATGTGGTCGAGTATACAGATTGGAAGTGTTGGAACAGTTGGTGTTGATCGATCTGGCAGAAGGTGGGCTGACCATCAGTAATAATGGTCATAGCACGCTTCCTGTTAAGCCTGTAAAGCTTTTGAATTTTGCTAGCATCGGTAGCAGAGATCGATTGCTGTCGGTTGCTTGTTGAGGGTTCGAAGACTTTGATGGCGCATATTTGTTGCGCCAGTCCAACTAGATCATCGACCATTACATCCGGCATGTCTGGATCTAAAGCCACATTAAAGCGGTCTCTCCAGGCATATATCCAACTTGGCACAGCCGTAGAGGGCTGTTCGGACTCGTGTGGATAGGCTGAAGGTGTCTCAGGAGGGGGCAGTCTCTCGGTGTTAACCTGCATTGGAGACCCGGTACCTTGGAAGGAATAGGGGTTCCGCTGCGATGGTTGCGAGAGATTAGGAGGAGGTACGGCCTCATGTGAAGGGGCCATAGGTGCCTCAGGAGGAGGTATATACTCGAGGTTAACCTGCAATGGGGACCCTGTACCTTGAAAGGGATGGGGGTCCCGTTGCAACCTAGAGGGTGGCCTAGTAGTTTGTAGGACAGTGGGGTTTGCATGATGGATTGGCCGTGAAGGCGGAGTGCCATCAGTGGTGGTGTGAGAAGGCTCGGGGGGACTGTGTCGGCTGCTGGAGAAACCGTCGTCAGGTGAGCAGACCTGCGTTGGCGGGTACGTGCTGTGCGTCTTCGGTTTCCATTTCGGCTCGTGACTGGAGTCCTATCGTTTCGTGGAGATGATGCATCGGATGAAAAGGGTGAGCAGGCTGCTTGGCTGGTGACAGTTGTCGTCGTGCTGCGGCGACTACGTCGACATCTGGGCCTGATGGGGATACGCTGGATCCTTCGATTCTCCGGTATAGGTGCAGGAGGTGTTAATGCCTCAATGCAGTTTTTGCACGCTTCGGCTTTGGATTGATGGGCCTTCAATGATTTAAGTTTGGGCATGATGAGGCCACAGGCACGGCATTTAAACGTCAGTTCCGTAGCATGTTCCCTTTTAAGATGACGCACGAGCCCTGCGTGGTCAATGTATTCTCTTGGGATAGGCAAACATAGTGGGCAGCCGTGAGGTGGCTGCAGTGGAACGAGGAGCGACACCTGTGGCATGGCCAAGATCAAAGTGTGGAGGGGAAAGGGGCGGAAATGCCTCCTGGGGCGCTTAGGGCGACCAACCAAGGAGAGGCAGGAAGGGGAAGAAAGTTGCGGAAGGGGTGCTCACGCAGAGCACTGACACGTCGCCAAGCGGAGCTGGCGACGATAGCGAAAGTGTTGCCGGTCGAGCAGCGAATACACTGTGCATTTAAACAGTGCAGGCCGCTCTTCCGGCGGAAGAGAGAAGAGTGTAGGAAAGAGAAATTAGTAAAACCAAAGTATACTTACCCAGAGGTCTGGGGAGCAATGTGGGGCTCTAAATCCAGGTCTGGTCCTTAATTTAGGCAAAGATCATCAAGCTGATAAGAACAGATTTGAAAATGATTTATTTAAATTTTAGAAATCAGTACAAAAGGGGTTTTAGAGGTTAAATGTGAACAAATGGAGAGATATATACAAGTAGAGGTAATGGCGATCGCGACCATGGGCTCATAGCCTGCTGTGATGATGAACAAAACCAAGATGTAGGTGTGTAACAGAGAATGGTAATCGCGGCCAAGGGCACATAGCCAGCCAGGATGTATGATACAATAGAAATAAGAACAGAGCGTAATCATGGTTGGGGGCACATAGCCAGCCATGATGCAATAACGCGACAAAGTATGTACATAGACTATACAGAGCAATTAGTGGTTGCGACGGCTATATCTTAGGTGGTTACAGTATATTCCGCGACTCCACCTTATGCAGTCACTGACCATTAGTTTGGTCATCATTTTGGCGTACTTACGGCTTATGCCGAGACGCTGAATGACAGAGATGTTGGCCGGGTCGAATCCACCAAGGGAGCCCACGATGAAAGCGTCGCAATAGGTATCGTAGCCCTGTTGACGTAAATGTTGAGTGAGGGCGAAGTACTTGCTTATTTTCATGTCCCTGGCTGCGTTGAACGCGTTCTGTCTGTTTTCAAAGGGGACGGCCGCATCAATGATTGTTGCAGTCTTGGTCCTCTCGCAGATGGTGACTAGGTCGGGACGGCAGCGGTCGTCGAACCCTGGGATCTTCTGGTTACAGAAGATTTTTAAGTCCTGGTTGTTGATGGCGTGGAATAAGCGGTTGAGGACAGAGTTGTGGAGTTGTGTGGCTAGTCGTAGGTTGGGGCCACAGTGATTTAGGACGTGCGCAAGTGTCTCATTGGAGTGGCTGCACTGGCGACATTTCTTTGACATGTTGCCAAAGCGTCGTAGGCCGTTGAGCGGGACCACACTGAGACGGGCTCGATGTACAAATCGCCAGTCCGCAAATGAAGTGTACAGCCCGTCTCTAAGGAAGTGGTTGCTGGTGGGGTGACCTGCAATGAGATGGAATGACTTACCCTGATCCGGCTTCTGTAGCAGCTGGTGGAGGGTGGCAGATTTCACCATGGCCGTTAGAACTTTGGTACAGGCGTGACGTGGGATGATGTTTCCACCAGTGGTCAGGACGAACGAAGTGCCCGTGTAGTGCCACGAGATGTCGATGTTTTTGCGCAAGCGTCTTGTGGCAGCATGCAGTCTGGCCCAGGAAGAGGTGATGTCTTTCGATGGTAGGCCTATGTCTCCTTCCATGGATCCGTCGAGGAATGCTCTGATGTCTTCGTCTGTCGGCACTCTACGGATGCG